GATCCCGACACGAAAGGGCACGCCCCGAACCTGAAAACAACATGGCTGTGGTTGCTGTCGGCCATGTTCGTTGTGGTGTGCCTGATTTGACCAATGGGATGAATCGCTGAAGATTTTGATTGTTTTATTCACATTTGGGACTGCCCCTTCAGCTGCTTTGAAATTTTTTTAATCATTAACCTCTCCGCCAAAAGTAGTACCTGATTAGCAACGTGACAAGAGTTTCCAAAAACGCCGAGCCCAGTTTCTTCAACTCGTGTACAAGGAAGCAAGAATTGTGACACTCCTGTGATTGGTTGTGGAAAAAAAGTAGTGGGGTTTTTTTTTTGTTTGTTTGTTTTTGTTTTTAATGTATTGCACATAAGTTAAAGAATGTACCTGAATAAGTTTTCAGAACAGTTTTTAAAAATTAACTGCAAGTGTATTGTTTGGAAAAAGTTTAATACTACTCAACTGGATAGGCAGTGATTATTTCATGGACCACCAGAGGGAGCTCACGTACCATTAGTGGTACTAATACTACACTGGAGACAATCTGGTTTAAAAAAAAAAAAACTCGATTTTTCAACGGATTTCTTTGACTGTTTTGTTTGGTTTGCAAATGAGGGACGCCATTTACCGATTGTCTTTCACTTCAAAATATTCTCTCAGGAAGCTGCTGCAGGCTAAAATTCCCGAAGCTTCTACAAGTCGACACGGCCGAGTTTCCGGGATGTTGCAAACGTCGTCACTTGCCCTAAAAACCCCACTTAAATTGTGCAAACGAGCATTACGGGTGAGAAAAGAAGTAGAACAGATCATGTTCTTCCTGATTTGACTTGTCATGGAAAATTTTAAAGCTAATTGAAATGCTTCTTTTTTTTTTTTTTTTTTTTTGGAAACCACTTGTCCCGTGACTAATCTTTTGAATGACATGCATGTGTCCTTTTGTTCGTGTGCTTTTTAGATGCAAAGGTTCATTCACATCAGAGTTGATGTCTTGAACGGAATGACAAATAAAAAGGGAAATTGGGTTTAAATCGGTTGATCAAATTGTCTTTTATTGTGTTAACTTCCGGGGGCGAGATCCGGCGCTTAGCTCGTGATATTGACTTTCTTCCAATCGCCAGCTTTCTTCGTCCGGCGCATTGCAGGTTAACTTGCTTGCTCGGCTGCTTAAATTGACATCCCTTCATTCAACAAACGGATCCTACTCTTCATTTTTGGGATGTATTGATTGATTCTTTATTGAAATATTGACGCATATTTCCGCCATGCCACGATAAATATGTTGAAAAAAATCACGTTTTGATGTGACGAGTTTCATTAGTTTGAAGTGCATTCAAAAAAAACGAAGAAGGAATTCCTTCATAGTTATTTTTGTGTCTTATAAATCAAAGTTATACGTCACGGCATTTATCTTGTACTTACACATGCATGTACCCATACACATCGCTCTATTTGGGTCCTAAGTTTGTAAGGACTCAAATGCTCCGCCTCAAACTTGACAGTGCCCATTAGCTACCACAAGATGGCGACAGAGATGAGAGATTTTTGTAAGAATGAAATGGGGGTCGGGGAGAAAGCAGGCCTCCCCGTTTCTTTTGCCTCCAAACTCCAACTTTGGATGTGAGCGTTGGATTCCCCCTACCCCCATCTTTTCGAGGCTTGTTTTCACCATTTCGACCAATTTCTCGTGGAAAATGTACTTTGAATGTTTAGAATTTTGGGGGTCTGTAAAAAAATTAATAAAATCAAGGGGCACACAGAGTTACTCACGTTGATCTGCTCACCATTTGTTTAGTAGTTTTCACAGAATAAAGAAATACTCTTCCTCAAGTAAATCCTGTATTTACAGAGCTGCTTTTGACTTTCACTTCAGTCGTGTTATTCGAAAATACCGGCATGCACTTTATTGCTACTCCACCCTCCTCTGCTTCTGACTGCCTGGCAGCCAGTTGAGGGTGCGGTGCGGGTGTTGCAGATAAGCAGTACAATGTAGAAAATGGATGCAAAAACCCCGTGGGCCATTTTTGCCTTGCGACATTTTGGAGGCTTTGCGTTGTGATTTATTTTACTGGTGGCATTGCGCAACCGAATGTGTGTGAGCGCTGTTGCTCATTGCTGGTGGTTCCACTTGAGTTTTTTTCTGGGAGGGGGTGCGGGGGGAGTTTTGCTAACGTCCTCGCTCAACTTTCCATTGTGGCACAGCGCATCATTAGATGTTGCCGCTTTGCTATCTGCCGGCGTTCCTCTCTGCTCATTATTCCTCATTAGCCTTAGTGTCGTGTCATTGCGTCGAAATTTTGGTCCCACGCAGGCCCGCGGCGGTGCTGAGGAAACGCAACGCGTCGATTGCTTGTTTTCCGCACAACGGAGACCGATGTCAGCGTAGCGCATTTAGACGCATCACGCACACAGTGGTGCCTGAAGGCTTACGAGTTTGTGAAGACTCAAGCTGTGGATTGGCCTACTTGTTGTTTTGAGATACAGGCGCCTCTTTGGCGGCAGGCAAGCGACTTGACTCGACTCACTCGATTTGACTCACACTTGACAACAAACAACAGTTTGGCAAATAGTGAACAATTCATCCCCCCCCCCCAAAAAAAAAAACTAGACTTTGAGTTTATGTTGTCACTCTCAAATGAAGCTTACTGTCAAACAACCACCTAGCCTCCGTTAGCTGAATGCTAACATACAATGGGAATCCCCGTAGGCAAACGGGCTAATAATTAACATCTATTGGGGAGTGTTGTTGCCCTTTAAATGATTAAAAATACTGCAACATCCATGCTTATTTCATGAGTCCATCTGTGGTGTTTTGCATTGCGTGTTCGAATTAAGCTAGCAAACACACGTAGCATATGTGTGTAGCTTGCTGTGAAGTTCGCTGCCAACATTTAGCGCTCCTGACTCCAATTGTGTGCAATTTAAGATTAAAAAAAATCGGCCCAGCGTCAGCTCGTATATGGAAATAAGTTGTGTCGTGTCACTCTTAAATTGATGTACCGCTGTAAATTCCTTCTGCTGTTCATGAAGGTGCCCCGTGTGTTACCCCGCATTGGCCGTACCTGACCTCTCATGTCACGGAGACGAGCAGACACATAAATATGTCACACAAGGTCAACTGTGGCTGCCAAGGAAGTAAAAGTGTAAAACAATTATAGAGGAAAAGCAAGAGGAGAATAAAAGAATGAGTGGCGAGTGAGAAGCGAGTCGACGGCGGGTGGGGGGCAATGGGTCGGCCAAACAGTAGCACGCAAGGAGCAGCACAATAAAAAGCAGCCGTGCACTTTTAATGAACTTAAGGAGTTTTCGGGAGAAACAACAGGACTGAACAGAATTTGAGGTGCCAACCATGAGAACGGGCGCTTTGGTTTCTTCTCAGCTTTTCCTCCTGTCCTTTTCCATTTCCCGTCTTCACCCGTTTGACCGCCATTATCTCAAGGAAACGTTTGGTGGCTCAACTGCTAAGACTCAACTGAATCCATCCTGACCTTGACATCATTTCACAGTCGAAAGTCGCTCTTCTGTTTCTTTCCCCACCCAACCTTTTTTTTTGGGGGGGGCGGGGGGGTTGAGGCACGGCACGCCACCCGACAAAAACAGAGGAGAAGCGGCAGTCAAACAGGCAAAAATGCATCTGCAAGCGGGTCAAGGCTGTACAAAAGACTTGTGGAATACTCGATGTGGTTTAACCAAATACGAGCATGAAGAAATAAATTTCAGGTCAATATTTCCAGATTTTCTGTTTTTATTTTTTTATTTTTTTGTGAGAAGGGCTGAACCTAGGAAGAGAATGCTCTTGAACCTGCTGACTTTTTTTCCCATGTTATCAAAAAAGACCAGCATGTTGTAAGCGGAAGGCTTAGTATGGAGCGCTTGCTCATTTGCGAATTTCTCATGACGTAGTGGTTGGGAGTCACTTCTCTACAGCGACTTCTAATAAACGAGGACGATAATTACAAACACAAAGTACAAAGGGGCTTTTCAGAGAGCAAAGGGTGGGGGGGGGAGCGGGTGGCTGTTCGGACAAAAGGAGTGTGGGTAATTGAGGCGCTTGAGTCATAGCCGCACGCGGCCCATGCTGAGCCGCTCTTCCCTTCTTCTTTCCGATAAATGGAAAGCAAATGTGAAAGTTGTAAATGTGGGAATTGGCTTTTCAATCACTGCTCACTTTTATTGCTGTACCAGTAAAATCTAAGAGCGCTTTTATATGGCAGCTCTTGAGTGGGAGTATGTGCAGGTGTGCTTACTTTTACACCTGAAAAACCGTCTGAAACTTTTGGAAGAAATACGCCTCTAAAGTCACACTCAAAATGTGGGTCGAACCCTCATTGCTGGCTGGCTAAGCTAACCAATTGTGAGACCAAAACAGCGGGTAATAAGAAAATCATCTTTGTGTTCATTGAGATTTTGTTGTACCCTACATCCTCATGGTATCAGTACAGTACTTGGTATTGATATCGGTGAATATTCAGGAGTGAATACATGTACTGGTATCAGTCTGAGAAATGAAAGTGGTATCGGGCCGATTCGTCGGCTCACCGGCCGATGGGGCGGCCAGGTAATGTTTGCGCAACTTCCTGGTTGAGGTCTCACAACAGCGGACGCTTTGAATGGCGATCATTTGAGGTACAGTATTTACAAATGACCACAGACCTCTTGGCAACCCCTGCTCTCCTTACATTTTGTTTGGAAGGCCAAAAGTGATTCAACAACCTGCCAGAGATTGACTTTTTCCTTTTACCTGGTTGTGTCTCCTTGATTTAACAAAAACCGCGGTCACAATCTTTCACCCATTCCTCACTCGTGAATCGCGACAAAGGGATTTTTAGTGGACATTTTGGGAGAACGATCTAAATCCACAAATTGAGAATCGCAATGTCTTGTTATGTCATGTGAGGTGGCTGAAACGCAAGCCAAGTGGTAACATGAAAATCGACACAGGCGAGATTTGCTCATCATTTTGTTGGGGCGGTTCTTAAAAAAAAACTTGACTCTTGATCAAAGCAAACAAGACGGTCAAAGCGCTTTTTAGGTTTAATTGTGTTGCGCCTGTTCAATATACGATTACAATTCAAAATGACAACACACAATTGCTAAGAGACCTTCTGCTGCACCGGAAGTCATATTTTGTTTTCGACTCGTATGTGCCGATTGGAGCGGGCCGGCCGTTGACGTTGCTGACTCCCGTTTTGCCTTCATGCTCAAATCCCTGAGCAGGCTAATAATACAAGAATACATCGGATATAGTATAGAAATGGAACACATCAACATTTCAGTCAGTGCAGTTCGTGCTTGTGCTTGAAGGCAGGATGGAGATGATGGAAAAATGGCTGAATCAAAAAAGAGGACCAAAAAAAAAAAAAAAACACTGTACAACGTATTTACACGAACAATTCACGCATGTCAGACGGCCGTAAAACACTTTGAAAACAAAAGGAGCCAGCAAAGTGACATATTTAAGTGCTTCGCGTGCAAACTCACGAGATGTTTGCCACCATCACTCCATGTAGGCGCTCATGACTTCATCCACGTTACTGTATTTCCTTCCTATACTTGCATTACAAAGCTGGATTTTCCTGTCATGGATGAGTTCCAACAGTTCTTTTTGTCCTGGAAAGTTGCGCGTCTGGCTAACTAAGGCTCGCTTTGAGGGAGCGATCGATTCTCTGCTTGAGAAGTGGAGTTAAGAACCATCTCTTGTTGTTTCTCTCTTGCTTTCTCGGTCTCCTTCATCCTGAAACGACAAAAAAAAAGCAAGGCTCAGTCCCTTCTTCGTGTCAGAGTAGTTTGACAGTTTGGCCACCAGAGGTCGCTCTTTGTCAAAGAATAGAAGGCTGCGCATGTGACGTGCTGTTACTGGAATGGACATTATTTCATGAAGAAAATGAGATGATTAGTTATTAGTGAACAGTCAGAAACTTGGAAAGAAAAGATTCGACAGTGCTTGTACATCAAGCTGTCATGACCAAAAAAAAAGAAAAAATAATATAGAATATATGTTTAATGAGGAAAAAGATGTCATGGTAAAGAAAATATTCCTGAGACCAAATGTTTTCTTTTTATGGGCTATGTCAGGAATGCCGCCAAACAATTCTAAAAGCAAAGGAAATCCCAGAGGAACTGCTTTAACCACCCGCAAAAGCCCGTAGTTTTGTTTGAAGGTGTAAGAAAGGGAAAAAAAATCATATAGTATGGCCCTGAAAGAATTTTATAAAAACTTAAATGACCCCTAGTTGGGGAAAAAAAGGGACCATGTTTGAACTTGATTGGTCAAAATCTGTAAATATCTGTCATTCATCCATTTAAAATAAGCAATGATGTAAAAATAAACCCTGTGATTCGCTGGCAACCAGTTCAGGGTGTACCCCGCCTATTGCCCGAAGACAACCGGGACAGGCTCCAGCACGCCCGCGACCCTTGTGAGGAAAAGCGGATTAGAAAATGGATGAATGGATGGATAAAAATAAACCAGATGCAAAAAGCCATTTTGCTAGTGAGTTTTTGGAACTGGAGTCAACAACTTGATTTTCTTCTAAACTACTGTACTCCTCTTTCTCACGTGGATGGATGAAAATCCTCCTGAACCGAAAGCATCTCGTATATCAAAAATAACGCGCGGTACATTTCCGAGATCTGACGTTGAAAACACAAAACAGTGGTGTGTGCGAAAGGCGCATTTGTCACTGGCTGGTGGCTAAGCTAAGCTAAGCCCGAAAGAGCCACGTTGTGCTGCCATTCGGTTTCAAGCTACCGTCGTTGGATTCGAAGTGGATTATATTCGCTGAAACTGTTGATGAACCTCATGTGATGCATGTATTTGGTTTTTGTTGACTAGCTTAACTACTAAATACAGTCATGATTGTGTACATGCTACAGACGTGCTTTATCATCCTCTCCGTTGTCAATGTTCTGCCGCCATTTTGTGGTTCATATGTGCCATTGCAAATGTCACAATGGACGAAACAACTTTTTTTTTTCTCCCTTTAGTCAAATGGACGTCGGAGTTCAGAAAATGGTGTGGTGATTTGGTCAATAGAAACGTCATCAGTTGGGTTTTATATGCTCATGGCTGGTGACTAGGCCAGAGTGTTCTCGGCCAAAAATTCAGCTCCTCTGCTCGCACTTTCTAAACAAACACTTGACAGATTGATTACCTCTGGGATTGTTCCATCACTATTGGAGGGATTAGCCAAAGAAGGTGAGTCAAAGTGAATGGTTGGTGAAAGCAAAGAGAGGTTTTAGATTGAAAAATGAATCATTTTGGGTGCTTCGCTCAACCTTTGCATTGGAGCTGGCCGGTTATTGGTAAGGACGTCCCAGCTAGAGGTCGAGCTGTCACGAGATCACAAGAAGACACAATCATAGAAAACACAAGACACGGTGACAAATAAAATCATTGACTTGATCAAAGAGCAACGTATGATTAGTCACGATTGATTGTGTTAGATTGGGGTCATGCAGGGGGATGAAGTTATCTGAAGGACAGGAGTTCCCAAAGATTGTCACCACAATTACATTCAGGTCGATGAACAATTTGGACATGGACACAATTCTCATTTTTTTGGCTGTAAACACCATCACAGTGGATTTGAGATGAAACCAACCAGATGGGCTTTGACGGCAGCCGGTCGGTCACCTTTAATTCGAAATCAGGTGGATGGGGTCGCAAGTAATCATAAAGCAAACTTTTACTTTTGAATACCGGATTTTCCGCACTATAAGGCGCACAGCGCGTCGACCTCACGGTGCAGAGGTCGTGGGTTCGATCCCGGCTCCAGCCTTCCCTGTGTGGAGTTTGCATGTTCTCCCCGTGCCTGGGTGGGTTTTCTCCGGGTACTCCGGTTTCCTCCCACATTCCAAAAACATGCACGGCAGGCTGATTGAACACCCCGCCTACTGCCCGAAGTCAGCTGGGATGGGCTCCAGGAAAATAAGGTACTTGGATGCAAATCCTTTGCGGTCGCATCGAGCCTGACGTGTGGAACGTGAGCAATGACATCAGCAGACGGTGGATTTCATCCCTGGAGATGTTCTGCCGGGCATTGACGACAACTGCCTTCACATCCTGCTTGTTGTCGCATTTTCTCTTCACTTTTTTTGTCTTCATCAAGTAAAATGCATGCTGAGTTGGACTCAGGTCAGGTGACGCGCTTGGCCAGCGCATCACGTTCTTTGCCTTCAGATACTCTTTGCTTGTTTTTTGTAGGATCCCTCGGATCATTGTCCATCTGCACTGTGAAGCACCTTCTGGCAAATGAGTTCTGAAGCATTTGGCTGAAGTTGAGCAGATTGCCCCGTGGTGGTGGTGAGAGCCAAAAAGGTGGGAATTGTGTCCGTATCCCAATATTTCTGGACCTGATCATCAGAGTGCAAAGAGAGTCACCCCCAGCAAGGACGCTTTGGGAACACGGAGGACGACAGCGCAAAGGTGCAATCAGCTTTTGAAGCCATTTTGATTCAAACCTGCTCACCTTCGGCGCGTCTTTTCTATCAAACCGGTAATTAGGCGAGCCACTCGTAAGTATCGGGCACGTTATTGCAGCAGAGCAAAGAGGATCAGATTATCTCCAGCGCTAATCTCACGCTCACTTTCTCTTATTTTTCACTTTCATGTTTAAATCCCACCAAGCCGATTACATATTGACTGAATTTATTTATTCGAGCCCGACCAACAAAAATAAATAAATAAATAAATAAAAATCGCCGACTGAATTTATTTATTCGAGCCCGACCAACAAAAAAAAATAAATAAATAAAAATCGCTGCCTCTGGTACCACTTGATGGATTGCATAGTGCATTTCACTTGGATTGCACTCGGCGCACGCAGGTGCAAACGTCAACGTCGGTGAAACGCACGTTATCGGAAAGTAGCTTAGCCGAATGGAATGCAGCCGTCATTAGTGTGAGAGATTCCTCGTGCTGCAGCTTGGACAGGTCAAAAGTCTGTTGACCGTTCTGCAAGCACCGAATAAACACAATGACTAAATAACATGTCCGTAATTAACCAACAGGCAAGACATCACGCAGGTATTGTGGATTTCGCTGGCGCCTCATTTTCATCGACCGCATAAGGGCGGGTCTTCCAAAACAGTCCCCAGAATTTGGATAGATGCTGAGTCTGAAATTTTCATCCTCTTCAGGTTGGGATCTAATTGTAGAAATATTCACAGTTCCCTGAGTACAGTGGTGCCTTGAGATCCAAGTTGAATGAATTGTAGCGCTCCATAATATTGTAATTTACGTCATCGACTCGAATTAAAGAGAATAACAGTTGTTGTCACACTGCATCAAATATGTGGCCCTTGCCATGTGGGTGCTGTATGAGGCAAATTCCTGTTCATTGAGAAGTCTCAGCTCCTCTCTCGGGTCATCAGTATGGCACTAATATATTAGTTGTTGTACGCAGAGGATAAAGAATTCATGAGAGTGATTACTCTTATATCAAGCTGCGAAAGCACCACAACATAGAGGCTAATTATCATTAGCATTTGGATAGCTATGTGGTTGATTTTAACACACAACGCGTCATCCTCTTTGTTTTGTTTCATTTTTTGAGTAAACTTTAGGTGGGAGTGGCTACAATCTGCTTGAAGCCTCTTTTTTTGAAGAAGTTGTTCCGTATTTGCTGAAATGCTTCTTATTGTGAAGTGACTTGAACGGAGTTGACCGCCATCTCAGCGTGCCCGTATCTCAAGTTTATTCCAAGCTGAGCGACGGCTCGTTTCTCGAAAGACTCCGACCCGGAGTCACTTGTATCTCAAGGCAGCGCCGTCCATTTTCTGATTCCACCGCTTGTAGAAGAGCGCTGAAAGATCTCTCTCGGCCCAAAAGGGAAGGTTACAAACGGGACCGTTAATGTCAAGGGTTGAGCGCCACCTGTTTACCGCGGCCGTTTCACGGTGGAGGAGAGCGCAAAATCTGCCAAGAGACGGAAGGAGAGTTAACGCGGTCGCAGCACAACCACGACAAACTGCCTCGCTTGCCATTTTTCAGGAGCGATCCGGCACCGGCAATGCATCTTACCGTACGGTCTTGACGATAAACCGGACAATGACGGCAAGGCCCACGCAGCCGCACATGATGCCGATCACGATGGCGGTGACCTCACCTGTGGAGGGCAAGGCGTTCAAACCCCCAAGTGGGGAGAAGCACGACGCGCAACAAGGTGGGCCTTACCTGAAGAGAGCTCCTTGCCCGACTCTGCAACAGGCAAAGACGAGACGGAATCGTTAGTTTTTGCGACGGACGGACTGACGGACGGTTTCAGGACTTCCAGTTCAATCATTCGCCACAACGAGCACTTTGCACAAATCCTTTCTCTCGTTGCCTTTGTCTACAACTCGGTCCCCCTCTTTCACTTGTCCTCCTTTTTCCCCCCCTCTGCTTTCCTCAGTTGGGAAAACAATGAAGTCAGTGTTTCGCTTGCGCAAAATCCCGTCTTTTTTTTTCTCATCAGCTCGCAAACAAACACGGCTCTTCTTGCCGGCTTTTCCAACCACTCCTCATCTCTTTTCATATTTCCCGCATTTCTCGCCACGTTGCACTTTTTTTCTCCCCATGTAGTGCTAATTGTGCACTTTGGTTTACATGCCCCCCCACTGTCAAGTAACAGTCGTCTCTTTCGCAAACAGATCCTGCAAAAATTGGCTCATAAAAAAAAATCCCCACAAAAATCATGTGACTGGGACTCAAGTTAACAACAAGTTAAACGTGCAGCGAAATGGCCCGCTAACGAGCTGATTTTATCACCTGCAGTGAAGGAGGCAAAGACGACCCTGTGGTTCAGCGGCTGCGTGGCGCGATAGTTGTCCTGCAGCAACATCCGCTCGGGATCTCCCGCTTGGCTGGAGTACAGGATGGTCTCCATCTTCAGCAGCTGCGGAGGACACATCGTGGAATTAATGCAACTTCCTGATACACAACAACAAGAAAAAAGTAAGTTGCTTTATTTCGTGGCTGTCCACTGGAATGCATGTAACACCAAATTTTTGTCAAATTTTTATTTGGGGGGAGAAAAGAAATTGGTGTACTATACAGTGCATGTAGGTCAACTTTTTTTTACTGTATTCTGCTAGTATCCTGCTGGCTGGTAATTATTTTATGTATGGTATCTAGATTTGTAAACGTGATGTGTTGGAAGTTGTTTTGCAGCTTCAAAAAAAAAAAAAAAGGTCTTACATGCAACGTAGATGATCTGCGCTAAGTGGCTAGAGCTGTGCCCAGTGGCACTAAATTTTAGAATATGCAACGGGACAATAAAAGAAAAATATTTGCAAACTGGTAATGGCTGAAAATTCATTTTGAATCTGTTGCGATTGAAAAATGCCCGACGAGAAGTTTAGTTGCAAGTACATGCAGTTGTCAGCCCCACCTGAGCCTTTGAGATTTGAACCCTCTCGTGGAACACAGTCCACATGACGCTCTGGTAGCAGGGCGGCGTCGTCAGTGAGCCGTTGTAGCGATAGTAGCGTCCCAGATCTTTGGGGAGTAGCGACTGCACGTCAAAGGCTGGGATCAACACTTTCTGGTCTTTTGGTAGAAAAGCCCAGAAAAATCATAATGCGATTAGAATCAAGACATTCGCCACAAGCTATCCGTAAACAGCAAAAAAAAAAAAAGAAATATATGTATGAGACAGAAATGTTTTTTCATTCCAAACTCATCTTACAACATTGCCCGTACAAATAGGGACATGTCAACGCACGTGAATATATATTCTTTATCCTGTGCATAGATTCATTAACATAAGTGCCGTACTGAGAAGCTGAGAAAGGAGCTGATCCTCTAGTTCAGTCTATTCCTATATCTGTCCAAGGCATGCCCACCAGAATGAGCAGGCAGCACAAGTGAAGGAGGAAGTGTGACAACAACTGTCTCATATTTCTTATTTTTGTCTTTCCTGTCTGTTTTGAAAAACAATCAACATTAAGGAATACTGGTTTTCTGATGGATTAGACATCACAGAATTAGAAATTCAATTTGCATCTCGGCACCACCTGCCATTTGGCGGACTTACTTGCATGTCTGATGCGGCTCAGGAAGTTGATGATGTTGTCGAAGTGCGGGTTGGTCTCCTCACCTATCTGCAGAAGATCACGGCAACCAATAGAAAAAAGTAAGTTGCTTTATTTCGTGGCTGTCCACTGGAATGCATGTAACACCAAATTTTTGTCAAATTTTTATTTGGGGGGAGAAAAGAAATTGGTGTACTATACAGTGCATGTAGGTCAACTTTTTTTTACTGTATTCTGCTAGTATCCTGCTGGCTGGTAATTATTTTATGTATGGTATCTAGATTTGTAAACGTGATGTGTTGGAAGTTGTTTTGCAGCTTCAAAAAAAAAAAAAAGGTCTTACATGCAACGTAGATGATCTGCGCTAAGTGGCTAGAGCTGTGCCCAGTGGCACTAAATTTTAGAATATGCAACGGGACAATAAAAGAAAAATATTTGCAAACTGGTAATGGCTGAAAATTCATTTTGAATCTGTTGCGATTGAAAAATGCCCGAAGAGAAGTTTAGTTGCAAGTACATGCAGTTGTCAGCCCCACCTGAGCCTTTGAGATTTGAACCCTCTCGTGGAACACAGTCCACATGACGCTCTGGTAGCAGGGCGGCGTCGTCAGTGAGCCGTTGTAGCGATAGTAGCGTCCCAGATCTTTGGGGAGTAGCGACTGCACGTCAAAGGCTGGGATCAACACTTTCTGGTCTTTTGGTAGAAAAGCCCAGAAAAATCATAATGCGATTAGAATCAAGACATTCGCCACAAGCTATGCGAAAACAGCAAAAAAAAAAAAAAGAAGAAATATATGTATGAGACCGAAATGTGTTTTCATTCCAAACTCATCTTACAACATTGCCCTTACAAATAGGGACATGTCGCACGTGAATATATATTCTTTATCCTGTGCATGGATTCATTAATATAAGTGCCGTACTGAGAAGCTGAAAAAGGAGCTGATCCTCCAGTACAGTCTATTCCTATGTCTGGCCAAGGCATGCCCACCACAAGTGAAGGAGAAAGTGTGACAACTGTCTCATATATCTTATTTTTGTCTTTACTGTCTGTTTTGAAAAAAAAAAATCAACATTAAGGGATACTGTTTTTCTTATGAATAAGACATCACAGAATTCGAAATTCAACTTCATCTCGGCACCACCTGCCACATGGTGGACTTACTTGCATGTCTGATGCGGCTCAGGAAGTTGATGATGTTGTCGAAGTGCGGGTTGGTCTCCTCACCTATCTGCAGAAGATCACGGCAACCAATCAGAACTCACATCCAATTTGCATCAACGTGCTCAGCGTGGCTTGGACATTACCACGATGAGAATTCCCAAGACAGCCAGGCCGTCCCTTTGCGCCATGGCGGCGGACGCGTTGGGGTAGAGCTCGGAGTTGTAGTGCACCACGTGCAGCTGCAAACAGGATGCGAGAGCACCGGTTGGTCAGCTCTCCATTTTCATGCCGCTGTATCGGGCTCCTGACAGCCCAGGCTTGGAAACGGGCTTGATTTGTGCCGCCTTTCATTCAATTTGCAACATTTGCATGTGTGAGCACCACCTGCTCACCACGGAGGGAAGTGAAGTCGTCCGTTTTCTCTCTTCCTTTAATCCCCCCCCCCAACCCCCCCTTTTTTTTCGAAGGGGCAAAATTGTGCTCTTAATATATTTCATTTTTGATCATACATTTTTCAATGAAGACTTGATATAAAAGATCGACCATCCTAAGCCAGCAAAGGCTTTGAAGCAAAAAATAAAAACTAAAAGATCCACACACACACACACACACACACACACACACACACACACACACACACAAATAGGTTTCCTCACATAGAAATAAAGAACAGCATCAGATCCAGTGGAAGCACAAGTAAGACATGTCTGCCATCTAGTGATGATTGCTGACATTACAACTTAAAACTATGGCGGGGGGGACTTAATCGAGGGACCACTCAAGTGTTCCGTGGGCCGGTATTTGGACATCCGTGGAGTAAGAAGTATTGAAGTCGGGTATTTCGATTTCTTCAGCATTGTGGTTTGTCACATTTGACATCCCAATTACTCGGAGTGAAAAACTCCATCATAGTGGCTGGAATCCCAATGATTCACTCCTGTATTGTAACGTAAGTGATCAGATGGCTCATTGAAGTAGAATAAAAAAATAAATTTAAAAAATTTAAAAAAGAACGTTCCCTCCTGTCAGTGGCGATGGCGTTCTACCGTTTCACGCGTACCTCTGCTTCTGCGCTCTGGCCGTTGATGGTGTGTTCACTGCCTCCGGAACTGGGGCCGCCGCTGCCCCAGTGAAGGTGCATCTGCACGGCCGAGAAGAGCCACGGGAGACCGCCCAGGGTCATCCAGTCCGGCAGTTCGATAACAGCTGCGGGGGGGGGGGGTGCAAATTATTTCATTGGACTTTACTTCACGGCTAGGAAAAAAAAAAAAAAAAAGCAAGCGTTGCCATGGTTACCCGTGTGTCCATTATTGTAGAGCGTGAAGGGTCTGTTGCCGTGCTGACCGTAGCCCAGCGGGGTGAGCGGGGTCAGCCTGGCGTCATATTTAGTTTGGGTGGTCACCACGTCAACGGGAGATTGCGAGGAACCACCGCACTCGGGAAAATGTTCCGACCACTCCGACTGACCCACCATGCCTTCATTAGGGAACAGTAGCTTCGTTAATTCAATCTCAGCTCCAGTCTCGATAGTCCATAGTTCGACCTTAATGGGCTGCAATTTACAACAAAATAAGACGTGAGAATATGCAGTGTGTCGAAAACCTAATGGAGGGATTTAAAGAATAGGTCTGCGCCCACCCAGGGCAAGCATTCAGAGGAGTTGTAAGAAATCATTTGGGGCGTGCTGCCTAAAATCCAACAATCATGTTTTAATAGTCCAAAACTATATTTACTTCATAACGGGACAATTTTTAAACATGAAGCTCATCTCTCAACTTCAAATCTTGGGATCAACAGCATTTTGCTTTGAATGTCTTTTATTTTCCGGCCCTCATCCATTTGTCTACTTTTGAAGAGATTATCCATAGACGCAAACCAAGTACTGTCGCTAAAGGGTTAGCATGTCCGCCAACGCCTCCCCCCCTCCCAACCAACCACCCCCACCTCCATCTTGCAACCATCCGTGATGTAAACAAGCACCACCACCCGCGCCCCCTTTCCAACCACGTTGCACTTCTAATCATTCCCCTCTTTGCTGC